TCTACTTTTATTCCACTGTTATCTGAGAAGATACATGGTATGATTTCTATTTTTTTAATTTTGTAAGACTTATTTTGTGTCATAGATATGGTCAATCTTAGAGAATGTCCTGTGTGCTGAAGAGAAGAACATATATTCAGTAGATTTTGGGTAGAATGTCCTGTAAATGTCAGTCAGACCCAATTGTTCTAGAGTTTTGTTTAAGTCCATTATTTTTTATTAGTTTTCTGTTTCGAGGATCTGTCCTGTGCAGTCAGTGGGGTGTTAAAATCTCTGGTTATTAGGGAGTTGCTGCTAATCAATTTGCTTAGATCCAGTAAGGTTTGCTTTATGAATCTGGGTGCACCTAAGTTGGATGCATATATATTTAAAATTGTTATATCTTCTTGTTGAACTGTACCCTTCACCATTATATAATGTCCATCTTTGTCTTTCACTACTTTTGTTGGTGTAAAATTGAAATCATCTGAGATCAGAACTGCTACGCCAGCCTTCTTTTGGCTTCCTCTTGCTTGAAATACTGATCTCCACGCCTTTACTTTTAGTCTATATGCATCCTTGCAGGTTAGATGTGTTTCCTGAAGACAGCAGATACTTGGCTTGAATTTTCTTATCCATTCATCCAGCCTATGTCTCTTGATTGGAGAGTTTAAGCCATTCACATTTATTGAGAGAACTGATAGATGAGGCAGATTTCTGTTCATTCTCTTGGGTTGGACTTTGTTGCTTTGTTTTCTCTCTGGAGCCATTGTAATATCTGGCCTTTATCTTTAGTTTTTGGGTGTTTTTATGTTTGTGAGTATTTATTATGCTCTTGCATGTGTTACACTGTTTTGAATACTTCTTGTAGGACTGGTCTTGTCTTCGTGAGTTCCCTCAGACTTTGCTCATCTGAGAATGTCTGAATTTCTCCTTTGTATACAAAACTTAGTTTTTATGGGAACAAGATTCTAGGCTTGGCATTATTTTCTTTCAAAAGAGTGGGAATGTGGCCCCAGTCTCTCCTTGCTTGTAATGTTTCAGTTGAGAAATCTGGCATTATTTGGATCAGTTTTTTTTTTTTTGTATATAACTTGCTTCTTTCACCTTATAGCTTGTAGGAGGGTGTCTTTTGTTGATATTTTGGTCAGTCTCATGACTATGTGTTGTGGTGTTTTCCTGTTTGCATTTTATCTTCTGGGAGTCCTTTTGGCCTCTTGTATTTCTAATTCTAAGTTATTGGCCAACCTGGGAAATTTTCCTCAATTATTTCTTCAAATATCTCATCCAACCCTTGCATTTATTCTTCCTCCTTCTCCGGAATCCAGTGGAGCCACCGGTTATTTTTCTTTGTATAATCCCACAATTCTTGTAAGCTTTGCTCATGTCTCTTCTTTTTCTGCTCTATCTCTGTGATTAACTTATTTGATTTGAATGAGTTATCTCCAATCTCTGAGATTCTTTCTTCTGTTTGTTCCACCCTATTTTTGAGGCTTTCTCTTCTATTGCTCATTTCCTTTTTTATTATTATTATTTTTTTCCTTTTTCTTCCTTATCTTTTTTTTTTTTTTTTTTTTTGCCAAACACAAAGCTTTACACCTGAATAGATTCTTCGTTTCCAAGATGTCTGATTGATTTTTCTTTAATATCTCAATTTCCTTAGTGAAATTTTGTTCCAAGTCCTGAATTTTCTTTATGGTTTATTTGTGTTGGTTATCCATTTTTCTTGCATATCATTGAGCTTTCTTACAATCCTATTTTGGAATTCTTCTATCATTTTAGTGTTTTGAGTTTGGTCAGTCTCCATTTCTTGAGATCTAGTATCTCTTTGGGGGAGTGTTTTCAGCTTGATACTTCAAGGTTCCACAGTTCTTTCGCTGAGCCCTTCCCATCTGCATCAGCTGTTGTTTTTTTTTTTTTTTGTATGATGCCCAGGTGTCCTCTCTTCTGTGGTTTCTTGATATGCTACTGAGGGGAGCTCTTCCACCACACTTGGAAGTTACCCCTGATGGTAGGGATTACTTGTGGATTCTATTGTGGCCACTTGTGGGGGATGTGTTCCTTGATCATGGCCCTGACTGTTGGCCACTGACTGGGGGAGGACATCCAGCCCCAGCGTTTTGATCAACTGGGTGACTTAAACTGTTCTGGGAAGCAAGGTCATTTATACTGCCCAATTTCAAACTGTACACAGGCCCAGAGGATTCTCCCTAGATCTGGGGGAGAGTGGCTTTTCTTGTCTCACCCTGCCTCCAGGGTTGGAGCCTATCACTTTTGGTATGAGAGATGCAGGCTAGGGGGAGGAGGTAGCTCCCCAGTCTATCAGGCACCCCAGTGCCCCAGTGGCTGTAACTCTGCTTGACATTAGTCTTCTCAGTAGTCAGGCCTGGCCAGCCAATGGCAGATTGTATAGTGGAGGATTTGTCAGGAGAGTCCCCTAGGCTGAGGGAGGGGATCTGCCTGCCTCACCATATCACACCACGGCAGTTGGGCTGTGGACCCCCTCAATGGCAACTGATTGCCCACTCGAAGGGTACCAGCACTGGGGGCAACTGTTTAGTAGGTTGCAGGTGCCAGGTTGGGAGTCTGGGTCATCAGGACACCCCGTTGCCTCCTCTATGCTGCCTTCCTGCCTACTCATGCCTGTTTAGCCATAGTTCTTGCTCTTACTGACCCACCCTGTACAGCCTTGTTTGCCCAGGACAGTTCCAGCTTAGAGTCCCCGATTTAGTGAACAGGTCTGTAGGTCTGGTCCCGCTCGTTACCAGAGGCAAGATGTCTAACTGCCTCCCCTATTAGCTCAGTTCGGTTTAGTCTCCTCTTGGAGCCATCCTAGCACAGGGCTCCGGGGAGTTCATGGTGCTTTCCACTAATGACCGTACTCTCCAGCACCCTCTTCTCCTGCTCTGATTTTGCACCAATTTCAGGCAGATCCCTGGCTGGGTGGGTGTGGAGGTCAATGGGGAAGCAAGGAGTTCTCCTGTGGGTCTGATCTCATTTCACCCCCTGGCCCAGCGGGCTAGTGCCCTACCACATTCTATGCCTTGTTGTTTGTTTTGTACTCTCCAGAAAATGTGATCTTATCTCCCAATAACCTTGTTTTTTTTTTCCTTTTTTGAGAGTCCTGTGCTGAACCTCTGTGGATTCTCGATGCTGTCCTTGTAGGGGGGAGACCCACTCACGTGTAGGAGACCAAGATCTGTGTCTCCATCTCTGGGAGCAGGAATTGGGGGGTTACCCTTACCCCGCCATTTTTTCTCTTGGAATCTATATTTTAAATGGTCTATTTTGGACACCAGTCTTAATCATAAAAAAAATCTAAAATTTAAAAGAGATCATTGAGTGTTTTAAAAGCATACAGTAATTAGAATTTGGTTTTAAACTGTTCTCACGTACAGTTACTTTAGGGCCAGTTTTGATGAGTACAAAGGTAGAATTTGTCATGAATGATATCAACTGGATACAAATGCACAACTCAGAAACACTTGTAAATAGTCTATCTCTTAAGTAGGTTTAAGCATCTCCTCTAAATTGCATATGCATTTTTAATGTACTTACCTAGTGCTTTTTAAATACTGCTAGGTAAAATTCAATCTGTGTCAGCACTTGTCTGAATAATACTTACAAATTCTGCTTCAGCAGTGCCACTGTGACTGAATCCCTGAAGTATCTCCTTGCATTACAGCTCTTCATACATCAAAGATTCTTTTTCAACTGGGTAATTATAGACAGAAAAAAAAAACATGCTTTAGTGCTACCTGAGAGTTCTTATTAATATTACCTTTGAAATGACTAATTACGTTGCCCATAAAGACTGGAAAAAAAGTATTCTGTAAGTTACTTGTTAAAAATGACTCTCATAAACTTTGATCTTGAGAACCCTCCCCAAAGCCCTCCTTTATTTCTATCATTATATTAATATTTTTTATGTTTAATGTTTATATATGAAGATGTTTGAGGAATTCAGCACATGCTGACTCCCTTCTGCTTGGCAAAATTTGTCATCTTTCTGTTGCTGGGATTTTGAGCATGTGATTTAATTATTCTTGCTCTTAGGGCATAGTATGTTGGCCACATTCCCTAAAAGTCAAGCAAGATTTAAACAGCACCTCTTTTCAAGCTGAGTATTTGAAAGAGCTGAGAAGTTGCCCCTGCTGATAACAGAAGGTGGGAGCCTGAGGGGCTTTTCTTGTTTTGAGAGTTCAACTCACAAATACATTCTGTGCATGGCTGTGTAGAACCAAGTTACGAATCACATAGTAGCCTTCTCTATGAATGAGAAAGAATTCTCAGCTGTCTCATCTTTGTGTGGAAAAATCAGCAGCATGTGCATGATGGGCAGCATGTGTCACTAACTGTTGGCTGCATCAAGAGAAGATGAGTATGAGGAGGCGGTGACAGTGCTGCCCTCCCTTGAGCTCACAGATCACACCTGGAATGGGATATTATGAGTTAGAAGACCTGCAGACAATCTAGAGTTCCTCCTGGCAGCACCTAACAGAGTTCTGACAGAGTGCAGAACTTGAGCATTGGAAGAAAAGTTGAAGGTTCCAAATGAGTGAACAAGCTGATGTCTCAGCCTGGGAGAAGAGATAGGATAGGAGATAGGATTGCTGTCTCCCAACAGGTGAAGGCTTGTCACGTGAAAGAAGGAGATGCTTTCTGTACATCTTGAAAGAATGATCTATAGGTAGAAGTTTCTAGGAGACAGATTTTTAACTCACAAAAAGGAAGAATAGTCTGATCAGGCTATCTCAACATGGAACAGGCTACTTCAAAAAGTAATGAGCTCCTTGTCACTGGCAATGTGTAAGCAGATGCTGGATGGTCCTTTGCATTATAAATAGGCTTCAAGCAGCAGTTTGAGGCAGGGGATTGGACCAAATAGTTTTAAGTTCCTATAAAAAATGAGGCCAATTAAGTCAGCAAGTATTTATAAAGGATCTATTATATTTAGTGCCAAGACAGGGTTTGATTTTCTAAATGCCCGGAAATAAAGTTGCTTTGTTTTTCCTCATCAGGAGATGACCCATTCCTGGCCTACTCCTCTCACTGCCATGCATACTCCTGGAAACTTTGAGCAGAACACATTTTCCATCCCAGGACAGGTCAGTCATCTTCCTTCCTCCATTTTTCTTCATCTTATTTTAATTATACCAATCTTTTGATTGGATTCTTAATGATAAAAATGGCCTTGGTTGTCTAGTGCCATAAAATCTAGACTCTCTTGCCCCTCAGGGTGGTAACGTCCACATAATTTCTGTTGAAAAAGAGTCTTTAAGACAATATTCACACAGGTACTGACATGTGTATCTTACCACCTATAGCATCACCACTGTCCAAGTAATTGTGCCCACAGTGGATGAATCAGGGAATGAGGATCTCATCCTTTAAGAAACACCAAATAGATGATTGAACCACAACATCATCCAGGTTTTTAAATTTAAAAACCTATAATCCACTCTAATGGACCAATTTTCATTTTGTATGTCACCTTCTAGTCCTTGCTCATAAGCAGACAGATCTTTACAAACCAATGTATCACTTTGATCTAGTATTTTCTTCCATAGTTCTATTGTTAACCACTCAATATAATTTTTATCATCTGCTCTTACTAAGAAATTTTTTTATAACCATCAGTTTTAAAAATGTCTAGACACAGCTATTCTAACATGCTTTAAAAGAAAAATAAATAATGTTTTCCTTCCTTCCTTGCATCCATCCATTTATTTAGAAACCATTTACTGAGGGCATACAATGGACTTAAAGTTAGGGATGAAGAAACCCTCTAAACAGGTAGGTCGGCTGTTCTTCATCCCTAACTTCATAGAGAATACCAAGGTCAGAGAAGTATCCAACACTCTCATAGGGAATTGAGGAAGTGCTCACAAACAAAGTGGCAACATTTAAAGGATGATTAGGACTCTGATGGGTGGAGAAGGACTCAAGAGAAGAACACTCCGTACATAAGACCAGCATAAGCAAAGTCAAGAAGAGAAGAGGGATCATGATGTGAGCCGTACTTCTGTGAGGACTCAAGTGGCTAGATCAGAGTTTGGGTATTGAAGAGTGAAGAGAAATGAACTCCAGACAAGTAGATGCATCTCTTTGAAAAGCCATGGATGCCACCCCAATGAGTTTGGACTTTATTTATAAAAGGGGAAACATACAATCAAATCTTTTAGCTTTTAGGGTCATGATTTTGGCAATAACACTGGTCCAAACTATGTTCAATTATACCTTTTCACCTTTGAAAGGGGTTGGAATTATGTGATCAGTCCCTGTATGGGTGTGTGTTATTCCTTCCTGCATTCCCACCCTCCCTCTTAAGGCTGCCATGGATTTGGTATCCTTCTCCCTAGCATGTTCAGCAAAGGGAGTGATCCATCCATTTCAGGTATTGAATCTAACACTTGTACAGTAATTGCAATGTTTTTGTCTGGGTTCCCCAATTTTAGAGATAATTGGTGCAAGTCATAATTTTGACATTTACAAGTGTGTACAATACAACTGATTGTTTAAACAGGCTTTTGTAGTAAGTGTACAATTTGTAATCAGGCACAGTTGGCATTTTCTGCCAATTATCAGTGCTGCCATCAACCCCTTGGTAAAGGTAGAAGCAAGTAGAGTAAAATGGTGAAATCAGGATAGTTACATACTCACTCTTTTATTTCATTTGATTCCTGCCAAAATGTTGGTTTAAAATAAAAGTACATTTTAAATAACAAAAGCAACATCAACAACACTTGTAATAGTACTATATGCCTTTCCTCATTCTAAACACTAAATATAGTGTAAATAACTCAATCTTCACTGCAACCCAAAACAATGGGTAATTTTACAATCACTAATTTACAGAAAAGGAAACTGAGGCACATAATAGTTCAGTAATGTGATCTGGATCACCCAGTTAGTAAATGAGGGAACCAGTATTTCAGTCCAGGTGTTCTGGAGCCAGGAGTCATACTATCCCTCAGAATGTGTTTATCACACAGACTTACAGATGCGCCAGTTCAAATTGCATCTGCCAAAATGTGGCGATCCTCAGTAAAGGCATGTAACGTGGGTGATTCTCCTTTCCTCAGTGCTTCCACCAGATCTTAGTGACAGTATCCTCTCAGAAAGCATCAGTTGCTTACATCAGTGACAGAGCTTGCCCAGTAAAGAGTGCTGTCTTAAGAGCTGCAATCCTAGCTGCTTTTAATCCCTGCTCTGTATTTATTAGCATTTTAGTCCTGTTTAAGTTCCCCTGAGCCTCAGTTTCCCCATCTATACTGTATGCGTGTGTGTGTATAGCATAAAATTCCAATGGATTTTTCCAGGTCAAATAGTCTATGATTCTGTACATTTATAGAAACAAATATAGTTGACAAATTCTTAACTTACTTAAATTTGCTTATCAATCCCAAATTGGAAATGCCATGTTTTTTCATAGCGAATGGAAAACCTCACAAAGAAGAGAGTCAGTATGTGCTAAGCATAATTGAGGGAGTAATAATGTGCTCAGGGGAAGTTTAGTAAAGGCTTCCTGGAGGTAAACATCGTCTAGAACAGAGATTAGAAAACTAAAGCCCATAGATTTTTACATTTTGAAATGTTTAACCTTTACAAAAGAAAAATACCATAATATGAATATGAATAATATGAACATGAGTGTGGAATTCAAATTTCAGTGTCTATAAATCAAGCTTTCTTGGAACCCAGCCACCACCCATTCATTTAGGTATTGTCCATGACTGTTTTCACACTACAATGGCAGAGTCAATTATGACAGAGACACTACTTCTTCGAATGCCCAAAGCATCTACTATCTGGCCCTTTGCAGGAAAAGTTAGCCAACCCATATTCTAGGATCTAGATCCTACAGGAGCACTTGATTGTAGGATTATTGTCAAAGCTGTTATTTAAAAGAGCCTCAGATAAGTTTGTGAAAACATTTTGGTATCATTTTTATTCTACTGCTAAAATTATATATATATAAAACGTGTCTATGAAAAAAGTGCAAAGATCAAAGTCAGACATTTAAAAATGTTTGTATTCTGGGCATTAACAATTACTGCATGAACAATGCAGAATTTTTCTAAGACTAAGCTATTTCCAATGGGGTTAGGTATGTATGGGAAGTAACTTTGGTGATATATAAAAGTGTTTCATTTGTTTGGATTTCTGGTTTCAAAAATGTTTTATTCAGATTACACTAAATACTTTATCAAGAATACATAATGTCAGTTACTCAAATTCAATGAATAACATAATATTCCAGTTTGCTTCATGCATCACTGCCCTGTTGCCCTGGAACAACTAACTGATTGATTAGGTCTAAAGTCCAAAATACTAGGATGAAGGTTAAAAACTTAGGTTTATAGGACCAGTACAAAGATTGACTGTGTGTTTCACTCTCTGATTAGATATTTAGTTGGATTGACTTTGGAACTTGTCATTTAATTTCCTGAAGGTATGCAAGGCCAAATGCACCCTGTACATTTGTAATAAAATCACTTAAAAGTAACAGATGGAAATAGTGGTATATAGTTACATAGATACAAATGATTAACAACAAATTTATTTGGCACTCTGGGAGATTAGATATTCTGGATAATTTAAATTCTTGAATAGCTGAAGGTTATCATTCCATGTGAACCATATAATAGAAATTATTTTGAAATGTAATTATTATTTTTCTGACTTCTTTTAAAGATTATACTGAACATGATTTAGGCTTTCTTGATAACATGCTATTATGAGCATCGATTATTATACTTTACTGTAATATTATACTATGCTGCACTTGTGCATTTGGAGCCTATTAAAACAGGTAGGAATGCTTGCCTCTGTGGTAAATGACCATAGAGTCTTATGCTTTTTTAATTTCTGACTTTGCTGTGTCATTTTCTGTGGATTCCCGTGCTGTTGGTTTTCACATGTCAATGTTCCATGTGTCTGCGCCTCTAGAAGTCCTTCCCCTTCTTTGCCATCTGTGGCATCTCACTAAGGGGTGAGAATCAAATATTAAAGTTTTTTAGAGTTCTTTGTCCAAAGTCAGTTCTCTCTCAGGGAGGGTACAGAAGCCTTTGAGCAGCAAACCACGTGGGCTTTGTGACAGCTCTTTAGCTAGGAGGACTTTTCTGCCTCTCATTGGACTTGTGGTAGTCTTCTAGAGTGGTGATCTTGCCAGAAGACAATTCTCTTGGGCAAAAGAATCATGCTAAATAGATTGGAAAGTTCACTTTCGATTAAAGCACAGTGTTATAGTCATTGTTTACTTTTTTGAAAGATAAATTATGCTATGATCCTGGCTTTGCTGTATAGGGTGGCAAGATTAGGCTTAATAAAGAAATTGCTTGTAGCAGTGATTGATATAACTAATTCTTGTATTGACTTGAATTCATGGTCTCCAGTTTTGGAACCTTTGCTTAGCAGTATGCACTAAGTCTCTCTTCCATCCACAAGGTGCCATGTGTGCCCTGAACATCACTGTAATGCTTCTGCCAGCAAGTTTTGTCAGCATCCACAGGTGTGCCACACTCCCAGCAAGCCCAGTGTGTGCAAATATGGATTTCTTGACACAGTGAATGAATTGTATGTAGGGTGACTTTCAAATCAAATTTAAATTCCTTTAAATAATGTATTCCACTAATATTTCACATTGCTTCCTGTACTTCCCCAGACTTATAATGAAGTTTTAAGAATACTTCTTTTTTACAAAATGAGGTGCATCTATTGCACATATGTTATAGTTAAGGTAGAAAGTTAGAGCTCTTTCTATGAAAGTGAAAAACTGAGCAAATCTATTAATTATGGTCCTATTTACACTTTTACAAAAAAATTATCATTTGTTTGTTCAAACCAAGTCCCCTTTACTTCCTTAGAGGCATCATTGCCTAGCTAAGTGAGAAATTGTACACTCAAATTTCACACATATGGATCATTTGTTCCCATGTTGCACACATATCCAAACAGACACCAGTGTTACTTATAATTCTGATAAAATGGCAGTTATGATCATGTTGCAGCAGGTTTGGTTAACAAATGTGTATCCTTCAAATAGAGAAAAGCCTATATTTGCAAACAGTTAAGTTATGTCTTTAGCAATAACAGATATACTTCTTGCTCCCCTTGTAACATTTAACTAATGATTGTATTATATGTGTTCTTTCTGATAGGAATCACAACATCTGACTCCAGGATTCACCTTACAAAGTAAGTGTTTTTGAAAAATCCTCTTTAATGCAAATATCCATGTCCTCGTTTCCTCGTTCCTATCTAAAATCATTAAGCCATGGAAAAATAATAACAAAAAGTTATTTTGTAATACATTGAGTTGATTCCTTTTTATCTATTATTTATGACAGGAAGGTGTGAAACTGTATAACTGAGAGGGTTACATGTTTGGAGACAAATTGAATTCTGAATAATCATTTGTCAGTATAAACATGAACAGTAATTATCTGTGTCCTTTCTTTTCAGAGTGGAATGATCCAACCAGCAGAGCTTCTACAAAGTAAGTATCATTCAAATCCTGAGTACTTGGGTCTCCAGACCAGGCCTCTTCATGGGTATTTAGCAAGGAAACAGTGCTTCAATACTGAGCTAATCTTGTTCTCTCTCCTGTTCCCTGAAACTGTGAACCTTGCCTCATAGTAATATGTAGTTAGGTTAGTGGGGGAAATCATATTTCCCATTGTTTTAGTCTGTTCAGGCTACCATAACAAAATATTATAAACTGGGTGGCTTACAAACAACAGAAATTTATTTCTCACAGTTCTTGAGTCTGGGAAGTTCAAGTATCAAGGTACTAACCAAAACGTTATCTCATGAGAGCCCATTTTCTCATAGAAAGCTGTCTTCTAACCCTAATCCCACAAGTCGGAAGGGTTAGGGGTCTCTCTCAGGCCTCCTCTTATAAGGGCATTAATCTCATTCATGAGGGCTTAACTCTCATGAAATAATCACCTCCAAAAGTCCCTGGATCCTATAATATTATCACCTTGGGGGGGAGGATTTAAACATATACATTTTAGGGGGGATACAAACATTAAGACCTTGGCATTCATGATAAGCAAGTAATATTAAAAATGAATTAGATCACCATTAGGCTCTCTAATGATATATAGACACAGGCTGGGTCAATATCTGGGATATGAAAACAACTGTGATTTCAGTGGAAAAGAATATCTAGATGCCTTGTTTCTCATATTGTGACTAGTTGTTTGAGCACTATGTAACTTCAGCTAAAGGCACCATCATATATAATATTCAGCTACTGCTAAAGGATGTACAAGGGATGTCCCTAGGATGTACAAGGGACACATCTAAGCAGCCATGATCAGACATGAGATGTTGAGTGGATTGCTATGGACAGTTAGCCCAAGACCTTACTATTTGCAGGTCACCTGGCATCTGTATATTAAAGACAAACAAGGGCATCCAGGAGGAGATAGAGTAAGAGATTACATGATGCTAGGATGAAGTTCACAAGCCAGGACCCTGCAATTCACTCAGCACCATCTTCATTTTTTATTAATGTTAACTGAAGGAGGGGTTTGGAGAAACCAATTTCCTCAGATTAACTGATGTAGATTTTTTAATATCCATTTGTCCAAGAGAGTATCAAGGGAGTATTTATATTGCAACTTCTTTCATTCCTAATAATATAAAATGGAAGTCAACTTTTCTGTGTAATAGGCACATATTTGAAATATTTCAAATGAAATGATTTATGGCATTCAAGTGGCCTAACGACACACTTGAAGTAAATTGCTCACCTTTTGGAAGATCATACATAATTGCATAAAATGACTGGGAATGACTCCCAAATAGACTGAGACTTTGAGAAAGTCAATGGCATTTCCACTTTCTTGGTGCAGTGCAGTAGCAAAGCCCCAAATATGTGACCCCATCATCAGTCTTTTTGTTTGGTTTTCTGTCCTGTGCCTTCTAATTCATAGTTCAATTTCAACAACCAAGAATCCTTAATTTTAAGAAGAAAAAACAAGAGAGGTGGTTAACAAAACCATAACCCTGATTTAAGGACCAAATGATATGGAAATACAAAAATCAAAATCATCTTTGATATTGTATATTTCAGCTATTCCATTAATCATATTTTGAATTTTCCTTCTTCTTGTTTGTTATCCTAGTAAACAATAGATATTATCTTTCCTGCCTGCACTCCTACTTCACCTCACCCCCATTAAAAAGTCAATAAGATACCTACACACACATACACACACACACACACACACACTCACACTTACATGAGGATTTAGGAAATCAATGTAGGTTTCCAAATATGAAAAAATATAAAAATATATATTCTTTTGTAAAATGATCTTACTTCTAAAGCAAGAGTATTAGGCTCCCACTGTGAAATACTCTGCTTTCATATATACCATAGAATGCAGTGTTTCGGTAGTTTGTTACTAACAAAAATAAACTCGTCAATTGTGGTTTATAGTTAGAGGCTGCATTTCCAAAAAACAGCACTTCATAGCATGATGGTATATAGTGTAGTTAATAAGGCTAAAATTCTCTATAGGAAACATTGCCAAAACAAGAAGACACTGAATCCATTTTATAAATGAACTGCTCTCTTTTTGTCTGCTTGATCTGAAGTCCAAGCACTGCCCATCAGATTTCAGCTAGAATAAGTTCCCTTCTTGTGATAGGGTATGGGCTTAACACAGGACAAATCAGAATTATAATAAAGTTATTTTTACTTTTAGTTTCTAAATTATCAGCTTAGCCTTTACTAATATTATCCCATATTTTACTACAGTGTGCTTTTTAAGCCACCTTCTAGGATTTTCCACTTGGCAGGATAATTTCCTAGGTGATTAAAAAATTATAGGTGTAGACAGACTGCTGATGCCTGGACTTTGGTTGAAGAAAGCCATGCTGCAGAAAAGACACCTACCCAAGGTCAGCAGATGTCCTGGGCATATTCCTGCCACTTAGTGCAGTAGAAAGAGATTGCGCTTAGTGCAGTAGAAAGAGATTGCATTCTTATAAAACAGAATCCCTTAATTACTGGGACACTTTATTAGTTTTCTTCATCTTGGATAAAATAAAGATCTTCCATCTGAGTATGGATGGTTTATAAGGATTCTGTGCATGGACACCAAAAACACTGGCCCCAGTGTGCTTGAAGGTAGGCTTGGAACTAGCCAGGCTCTCTCTTTCTTCTTCTTCTTCTTTTTTTTTTTTTTAAATGGCTTCTTTTATTGAACATTTATTGACTTCTTTTTTTTCTCCTTTTATTTTATCATATTATGGAGGTACAAATATTTTTAGGGTTACATATATTGCCCCTGCTCCCCCTCCTCCCAACGTGCCAGAGATTCAAGCATGTCCAATCCCCAGGTGGTGTGCACCGCACACATTATGTAAGTATACAACCTTCTCCTCCTACCCAATCCTGCCTGCCCACAACCCAATAAAAAGTTGTTTTTTGTTGTTTTTTTTTTTTTACATTTTGGTTACATTGTTTATCTTTGCCTCTCCCTAAGAAGGGTTAGAGTTATGCCTTTCTCCTCCAAAATGCTCGCCACATCCCTAAGATTGGGTCCACCCCCGGCCCCTGAATCCCTGGTGAACATTACCACTATTTGAGAACCATAATTTTAATCAGTCAGTACCAATTTGATGGTGAGTAGATGTGGGGCCTATTTTCCTGGTCTTGTGTTGCCTCACTTTGGATAATGGGCTTAAGCTTAATCCAGGATAGTATAAACGGTGCTAGCTCACTGTCATTTCTTAGAATTGAGTAATATTCCATTGTGAGCATATACCACATTTTAATTATCCACTCATGAATTGATGGGCACTTGGGTTGTTTCCATGACTGTGCAATAGTGAATTGTGCTGCCATAAACATTCGGGTGCAGATGTCTTTATAATAGAATGTCTTATGTTCTTTTGGGTAGATGCCCAACAATGCTATTGCTGGGTCGAATGGTTTCTATTTCTAGCTGTTTGAGGTATCTCCAAATTCTTTTCCACAAATATTGTATTAATTTGCAGTCCCATCAGCAGTGTAAGAGTGTTCCTGTCTCTCCACATCCATCCTCACCAACATTTGAATGGCCTATATCAAGAAATCTCTCTTTATTCTTGATAGTTGCTGCACTCTCTGTGCTGGACCCCAGCAACATGACTGGCCTTTTGGAAGTATTTTTCAGCTCAGTGTACTCCATTCACATGCAATGCTTTTTATGGGGTGTCCATTTATAGAATAATATCCTATCTGCTTCAGCAAGAGCATTGAATTGGGGCAGTTTGGAGACCTCGATTTGAGTCTCTGCTTCATGTCAGTTGTGGTACTGGGAGGGGGGAGTACTGGCCTAGGATTCAGAAGATGTGAGTTTAAATTACAGGAGAATTTATTTTTATTTTAAAGTGTACATACAGGGCCTTTTCAGGAAAATTAAACAAATTAATGAACATATGTATATACTTACATGGGTACACACACAGACACTTATCAGAATTCAAATGCAAGCAGTTATACTCTGTAGTAATTAAATTTGACAACATAAAAGTACATTTAACTTTAATCCTTAGTAATCCCTGGAAGAGAGAAGACCCAACAATTGGTCTCTCACCCCCCAGTCTCTATGAGTCTGAGCTGTGTTGTAGTCTTGGAACAGGCCCTATCTGGCTCTTCTAAATCCAATGGAATGTGAACTTTCCCCCCAAAAGGTCTCTGTCACAAAAAAGAGGGGAAAACATGGGATTAAGAAGGTGAAATTGTATTTCTCAGGGTGGTAGAGTCGTATATTTTCACAGTAATATTAAAGGTTATTAAGTATGGAATGTCCAACTTCCTTAAGTACTAAGTTTGACAGTTAATCTCTATGACATTTCACTTTGACACTTCTTGGGTGTCTTTTGTGTTTCATTGTGAAAGTACACCTTTATTCTTTGACATGCACATTTTGGCTGGGATTATCTTTCAAAAATCTATTAGAGCAATTTTTGTGAAGCCATAGATAAGTAAAAATTCAAGTTATTTTTGTATATGAGTTCCGTCGCAGAACCAATGTAGCACAGACAGCTCAAAATATCAATGAAGTGTTTGGAAAGGGTGTGGCTAATGAATGCACAGTACATCAATGGTTTGAGAATTCCCATCTGGTGATTTTAATCTTGAAAATAAGTCATGTGTGCGACCTGAGACCAAGGTAGATAATGATGAGCTCAAAGCTGTAATGGAAGCAAATCCATCTCAACTTATGCATGAATTAGCAGCAAGGTTTGATGTTACTATTCCAAGATTATTGGACTATTTGCAACAAATGGGAAAAGTAAAGAAGCTGGATAGATGGGTACCACATGAATTAAATGAGCATCAGAAAACAAATTATGTCAAAGCTTGCCTTTCTTTGCTGTCACGACATAAAGGTGAACCATTCCTACACTGTATTGTTACATGTGATGAAAAATGGATTCTTTTTGAGAATTGCAAGCATTCAGCACAGTGGTTGGATAAAGATGAAGTGC